CAAGGTCCTTGCCATCAAACAAGCTGAAACAGACAACCCTCAAGTCCTCTCTCTGTAGCTGGCCCTCCTGCCTCAAACACTCAGAGTTTGCCCTGGCAGGATGGCCCAGAAAGCCGGCATCTTAAAACAGCCAGTTTTTTCCTGTTGCTGAGTCAGGACAATTTCTTTGCAGTACACAACCCACAAACAGCAAAATGCTGTCTTAAATTCTCTCTCTGTCCTTTTTAAGCCCTCTCAGGTTTTACGTGGAGTTCATTAGCACGTTGGGTGCCACTCTGTTGTAATAGGAGCGGCGGGGCTGCGTCCCCAGCACCCGGCTGCCTGCTAGCTTATGCCCCAAAATAATTACACAGACACTGTATTCTTTTAAACACTGCTTGGCCCATTAACTCTAGCCATTACAGGCTAATTATCAAACCCCAATCAACCCATCTCTAATAATCTGTGTAGTGTCAGTCTTACTAGGAAAATTCTAGCCTACATCCATCCTGGGTCGGAGCTTCATCGCGAGTGCCTCAGAGAGCAGAGCTATCACGTCTACCCGGGAGACGGGAGCATGGCGTTTCTGCTCCAGAGAGCAGAGCTGTCAAGTCTGAGCTCACTTCCTCTTCCTCCCAGCATCCTGTTGTGTTTACTTATTCTAGCTATGTTTTAACCTATCAGGGCCAAGCAGTTTCTTTATTGCTTAACCAATGAAATCAACAGATTGATATATGACACTCCCACATCAACTAGTGACAAGTTGGTCTGGTTTCCCAGCAGGTAGAACAAGAGGACTCTGGCAAAGGCCCCGTAGTACCATGCCCTTCACTGTTGGGGTGCAGGGGGCGGGGGTGACCGTCCCTAAGAGCAGTGAGGCAGAACTCCAGAAAAGCACAGGCAGTGAGGGGCAGAGGAAATGGGGCTTAGTGAATGAAGTACTTGTCACACAGACTCAGGAACCTGGTTGGTGGCACAGGCTTGTAATCCCATGGCATGGAAAACAGACATGGGTTCCCTGAGACCTGCTGGCCAGCCAATCCAACCTAAATGTTGGATTCAAAGTCAGCAGGAGATCCTGTCATAAAACAACAACAAAGTAGACAGCACCCGAGGAATAACACCCAGGTTTGAACTCTGGCTTCCGCCTACACATGAGTGCACACAATACACACATGCATGCACACACATACACACATGCACAAAACACCCTTTGACAGTGAATTGATAAAAACCACCACCACCAAAAAAAAAAAGTAGCCAGTATCTGTCAAAAACAAGTTAGGGATGGTCCAGGATGGGGAGGAGCTAGGAGCAAACCGTGAATAGGTGATGCTCTGATGGTCTCTGAGGGAAACTTAGATCCATTTCTCCAGGCAGCAAGTGAGAAAAGGGACAGCGATTGATCACATAGATCTTTCTTGTTAGGGGGAGGGTCCTCTCTAGGTTCCTGGGAATCCAAACTATCCTAACTCTTGATTCTTTTTTTTAATATTTATTTATTTATTATGTACACAGTATTCTGTGTGACTATATGCTTGCTGGCCAGAAGATGGCACTAGATCGCATTACAGATGGTTGTGAGCCACCATGTGGTTGCTGGAAATTGAACTCAGGACCTCTGGAAGAGCAGTCAGTGCTCTTAACCTCTGAACCATCTCTCCAGCCCCTAACTCTTGGTTCTTAAAGAACTTTCTAATGTGTAACTTTATGAACCTGGGCTCTAGAGGGATATGTGCCCTTCCAAAGAGCTCCTTGGAAGCTAAGCCGGCACCTTGGGTCTGCTTCAGATAGCTTATTATGAAGAAAGTCAGATGCACAGTGAAGACATTCTGCAGGGAGCTTGCATGCTTCATTTTTGATGATTTTCCAAGCTTTATTCAGGTCTATATTTATTTAAATGTGTGAATGTTTTGCCTCCATGTATGTGTGTATATATGTATGCATGTGCACCACATGTGTGTCTGGTACTCCACAGAAAAAAGCATTGGATTCCCTGGAACTGGTGTTGGAAATGGATGGTTGTGAGCCTCCTTATAGGTGCTGGGAACTGAACCCAGGTTCTCTTGCAAGAGCAAGAAGTGTTCTTTTTTTTAATTTTTCAAGACAGGGTTTCTCTGTAGCTTTGGTGCCTGTCCTGGAACTAGCTCTTGGAGACCAGGCTGGCCTCGAACTCCCAGAGATCCGCTTGCCTCTGCCTCCCAAGTGCTGGGATTAAAGGCGTGCGCCACCACCACCCGGCCAAGAAGTGTTCTTAACAGCTGACTGAGCCATCTCTCCGGCCTCTGAGTTATAATTTTAAAAGGAGAACAACCAAAAAACCGTTTTCTCTGACTCTAGAAGTCATTCCCCACCGTCTGAGCCAGGTTCTGCCTCACTCTGGACCAAAGGGCTAGATTGATACCTACTTCCAAAGCTAGGCATTGCAGCTGGGCCCACTCTGTGTTTAGAGTCAGCCAATCAAGATCTATTTCTACTCCCTGTAGTTTTTTTTTTTTTTCATTGCCATTCGAGCAGCCAGACTCCCACAGGAAATTTCTATCACTTTGCCAATGCCCTGGGGGAGGCCTGCTGTGCTCTGTGTCAGGCAGCAAGGAGCCCGGCAGAGCTCTGATCTGTCACTACTGGCTGTGTGCTCCCAAAGAAAGTGACCCCACTTAGTCTGCCTGTCACAAACATTGTCGCCCACAGCATTAAACAAAGAAGAGGACTTGGATCTGGTTTGAGGCCTTTGCTCTATTAGGCTCCGAGTCTCTTGGGGAGGGACAGGTCCCCTCCCTCTCAACACACACACACACATTCCAAGCCTACTCCCAAGACAGACCCAGGGAGCAGGGGTAACTGACTGGCTTGTGTCCCTTCAGCTGCGAAGCCGAGATGGCTCAGAATACCTGATCCAGCATGACTCGGAGGCCATCATCAGCACCTGGCACAAGGCCATAGCCAAAGGCATTGAGGAGCTGGTAGGTAGAGCCTGGGACCTCCAGGGCTGACTGAGAGGGACGTGGGCCTTTTATGCAGGAGCCCAAGCTATGCACCCAGAACCTATGACACCAATGGAATGGTGCCATTTCTGCAAAAGCAGCCCATCTGCTGGTGAGAGGGGCTGTCCAGAGGCACATGAATCCTGCTCTGGGGCTGGTCTTGCAGAATTCCATGGAAGGGCACAGCCTCAACCCGAAGGAGCTTCTCATTATAAGGCAGGTAGAAAAGTACATAAGTACCCCGAGAACCAGACTCAGGCAGGGGTGACAGCCCGAACTGGAAGATGAAGGGTCAACAGATTGAATTCAAGGCCTCGTGTCTGCTAGACAAGTGCTCTGCCGTCGAGCCATAGCCCTGGAAGTGTCAATCATGCATTGTGACTATATAGCTTAGTGACAGAGGACTTGCCCAGTATGCAAATAGTCCTAAGTCTGGTCCCCAGCTGTGACAAACAAAATCAACAGCTATTTAGATGGAAATGACCTCATAGTATTTGATTCTTGATTTCATATGAGTTAGCGCTGGGTGCAGATTTTGATCGTCCTAATAGAAGCAGGAATCGAGATGCAGGAGGTATTGGTGAGATCAGCAATGCAGCAAGTTTATGAGTGAGAGCCAGTCTAGCGGGATGTAGAGAGTTGACTGAAAACTGTGCGGAGGTCAGGAACTGGGAGGCTGCTGAAGACGGCCTGGATAAGAAAGAAAGAGAGAGGGCGGAATGACCTCGCAGCTCCTGGAGGACTCTGCAGCCAAGGAAGGTGGATGTTGATTCCGGAACTTTAACCTTCCTGGGATGTCTCCGGGCCAGAGCTGCTCAGGAGAGGCCCCAACTGGCCCCAGGCCTTGTTTCTCTGAGGCTGTCTGATTCTAGTCCGCAGACCTGCTCCAGGGGGTGGAAGGTGAGCCCAGCAGTGCTGATTTCGGGTCCAGCGAGCGCCTCGGAAGCTGGAGGGAGGAGGATGTGCAGCAGAATGCAGGTGTGCAATGGGGTCCGGTGGGGGAGATAATCAGAGTCTCCTGGGGAGGGGGGGGGGTGATGCCCTGGCTGAGGATCTAGGGCCAATGCTATCAGTGCCACCTGCTGACTGAGTTCGGTCTGTGACAGCCTCACTTTCCCTGAGCCCTGGAGGCCTGGAGAGCGACTTGAGCAGGGTCCGGCACAAGCTCCGTAAATTCCTACAGAGAAGACCCACTCTGCAGTCTTTGCGGGAAAAGGGCTACATCAAAGGTACCTGCGACTCGCCGGGATCCGGGCTCAGGTGGCACGGGGCTGGGCGGCGCTGACCAATCTCTCCCCTAGACCAGGTGTTTGGATGTGCGCTGGCTCAACTGTGTGAGCGCGAGAGGAGTCCCGTGCCACGCTTCGTGCAGCAATGCATCCGCACTGTCGAGGCCCGGGGTATGTACGCATGCACAGACAAGGCGAGCTCCATGGCCGGCTTCTAGGAGCAAAGGGTGGAGACCCCTGGGGGATTACAGGGTCAAGGAGAAGCAGATGGGCAAATCCTGAGTAGAAATTGCTAGGGTCCCTAGCCCTTCCAGGCTCAGCCATTCCCCTTCCCTCAGGGCTGGACATCGACGGGCTGTACCGCATCAGTGGGAACCTGGCCACCATCCAGAAACTGCGCTATAAGGTGGATCACGGTGAGGTTCTTCCCCAGTCCCTACTCTGGGGGCTGAAAGCACAAGTGGATGCTGACTGCTTCTCCCCACCCCCCTCCACCCCCCACCCCCCGGTCTCTCCCCACTGCAGATGAGCGCCTGGACCTGGATGACGGGCGCTGGGAGGATGTCCACGTGATTACGGGCGCATTGAAGCTCTTCTTCCGGGAGCTGCCAGAACCCCTCTTCCCCTTCTCGCACTTCCACCAGTTCATAGCAGCCATCAGTGAGCGGCTTAGGGAGAGGACGGGTGGGGAGGTTGGCCCGCCTTTGTCACAGCCAGCAGACTGTCACCTCTGGTTCCTTCCCTCACCCAGAGCTGCAGGACCCAGCCCAGCGCAGCCGCTGTGTACGTGACCTGGTGCGCACGCTGCCGGCTCCCAACCACGACACGCTCCGACTGCTCGTCCAGCACCTGTGCCGGTGAGCACGCCAAACTTCCCAGGGCCAAAAGGGAGGGCGCTGGTCGTGGCTGTGGCCCCTGTTGAAAGATTGCCCAGCCTCTGAGCTCTTGGTGCCACCGTTCCCACTGCAGGGTGATCGAGCATGGCGAGCAGAACCGTATGTCCGTGCAAAATGTGGCCATAGTGTTCGGGCCCACGCTGCTGCGGCCTGAGATGGAGGAGGCCAGCATGCCCATGACCATGGTGTTCCAGAACCAGGTGGTGGAGCTCATCCTACAGCAGTGCGCAGACATCTTCCCGCCGCACTGACTGCGGACCCTGGGTGGCTGGAGGCCATGAGGCTGGACCTCCTTTGAAGCTCTCCGCTTCCCACCCCGCTGCACTGTGACTTCTACACCCCTCGATTCAGAGGGTACGGTGACCGCCTTCATGACCCCAGTTCGTGAAATGTGATTTTTTTTCCCCTGCTGTATCCCTATTTGGGGTTCCTTAGCGCCCTTTCTTGATTACAGCGCCGCCTATTGTGCAAACACGAGAATGTTCCGGGGAGTCGGGGGCGGATGAGTGCTTCCTAGGGCCGCGGTTGGGAGGAGGGATTGGATGAAGGCATTCTGGTTTCCACATGCCTGCATCTGGCCAGGCCTTGATGGAGACTCTGTAGGCCCCGCGCTATGCAGGAGGTCCTGCGCTAGTCATGAAGCAGCTACTGACACTGTCCCTGCTCCCAGGGCAGGACTGACCCTGGCCGCCAGCCCAGGCCACTGACTGCTTTCTTCAGCCTTATGCTCCTGTGCCACCCTACTGCAGGCCACCTGCGGGCTTTTCCTCCGCGTTGCTCTCTCCCTGGACCACCTCTGTTCTCTCCATGTTCCTCATGCCCACCACATGCTTACCCCGCGCCCACTAAGCATGATTCCAGGGAACTGGGGCTTGCAGCAGAAGTCAAACGACTTCAGGTTCCAAAGGTGACCTAAATCCCTGCAAAGGCTCTCGCCACAGCAAACCCAGCCCCTAGAGGAAGAAGTGGTTCTTCGCCCCCTCTGCAGCACTGCAGATGGGCAGAGCAGAGCAAACAGCCAGGAGCACCCTGCATGGGCTGGGGGGGTGGGGGGGTGGAGGTTCCTTCAGGCAACAGGGAACCTACCACAGCTGTTCTGGGGGAAGAAAAACATCACAAATAGAAGCCCCCAGCCCCTGCCTGCACCCTGACTGAGTGCCTACCCGGTACTCACTTGCCATGCAGAGCTGGGAGGGGCCCACTGGAGAAAGGTCACAGCCTCGGGCACAGAGAGTTGAGCATGCGTCAGCTTCCCCCCTCCCCATGCACACACCACCTCAGTTTACGGATCTGAGCCCCTAGCTCCACCCACCCTCACTAACTCAACAAACGATAATAGCTAATATTTATTGAGCGTCCATACCATGCCAGCCCTTTACTCCGATTTCCCCCTTGGTTTCTTGCAGTCAATATTTATTGTGGGCCCTCGTGTGCTGGGCACTGTGTTCTGGGGCTTTCTGGAGCTTAGGGCCCAGTGAGTAAGGCTGAGACAAGCCCAGCCCCAATGCTAGCAGGCCCAAGAAGAGAACAAATGGAGGCCTCCCACCATACATCTACATATTTAAAGTCTTAAGGCAACCTAACAACTGTTAAATAAAATACGTTTATTCTCCTACTTTGGCGAGTGTACTTCAATAACGGCCTGCACCGATCTTCAGTCTGTCTACATCCCACCCCACTGTACAGCTAAGGCTGGCCTTGAACTCCTGACCATCCTGCCTCCGCCTCCCTGGTACTGACATTGCATCACCAGGACCAGCAGCCACCTTTTCCTAATTATTTGCCAAATGAAGGATCTCTGGGTTATGTCCTCTGGTTGTGACAGACACTACTGCACACGTGTGTCTGTGGCCATGCTGGCTTAGTTAGCTTGTGTTGCCATAACACGGCAGACCAAGCGGCTCGGTCAGTAGAAATGCATTTCTCACGAAGCTGGAGGCTGCATGTTCACGGTGAGGCTACAGCAGGGTAGGGTGGTGAGGACATCGTTAGCTTGCAGGCAGTGTTTTCTTGCTGTGTTCTCAAACGGCCGTGAAGCTAAAGGTCTGGTGCTTCCACACAAGGACTCCAATCCCCACATCAATCGCTTAAACTGTGGGGCTCCCCAAGGCCCCATTTCCAATCACGTAACATTGGGACTCTCGCTTCACTGTGACTCAGGGAGAGTGTGAGCTTCCGGTCCATAACTGGAGCTTCTCCCGTCCTCTTGGGTATTGCAGCTGTTGCTGGGTCCCTCCGTGATCCCCGCATATTACTTGTTGGGGACCTCCCCTGCCATCTTCATCAGCAGCTGTGCTTTCTCCCATCATTGGCTTTCAGGAACTCTCCTCACAGCCCAGTCTGCCTCTCTCCCTCTCACAGATGGCTGGCCTCTGCCCCCCAGCAATCATGGAAACACAGCAACCACAGTGAGCCCCAGAACAACCCTCCTCTCCTTAGCTCATCCCTGGGAATGGCGAGTTGCCTTTCTTTCCTAAACATGCCCACAGTTCTCCATGCTTCTCCCATATTGAGCTGCTGTGCCGAATTGAAATCACCAGGAAATAGAAGCAGAGAGATCAGCTTGGTGCCGACTGACCACTGCGAAGGGATAAAGGCTGCAAGACTGGGCCCCATGTGTAGACTCGGCCAAGCTCCCAGAAGCTCTGGGTGAGCTTATGCATTGTCCCTCCTGTGGCAAGAAGCCAGGTCTGCCGGCTATTTAGTAACCCCCCACATTGCCTGGTAGACAGCGCAGACCTGGGCATCTCCTTTCAGCTCTAGGCATATCCCAGAAGGTCAGATGAGAGCCATTGGTTACCACTCCTAACAAGCCCGACCTACACCTTGACTGATGCTTCAGTCAAGGAGGAGAGGAGGTTGTGGTACCCACAGTACTCACTACCCCCTCCCCCCCACACCATGGGAAGAAGCTCCAGTCACAGTCACCATTGGAAACCCTCCACCATACATCTCTCTAACCACAGCCATCCCCCCTCCTCAGAGACAGAAGTTTTAGTTTATTACATTGGTTTGTTCTCATACTGTATATGTGTGTTGAAGGTGCATGCATGCTACAGCATGTTTGTGTGGAGGTCAAAGGACAGCTTACACAAGGTGGTCCTTTCCTTCAGCATTGAGGTACAGGGGTTGTCAGGCTTGATGGCAAGAGGTGTCCATGTTCACTGTCCTCCACCCCTGCACGGCACAGACCACAGACCGTCCTGTGGATTCAGCAATACACCCATGGTGATAGACACTGTGCATCCCCAGGTTCAGTGACTTCCTGTGACATGCAGGCCTTCCTGGAAACATCTCTTCCTCTGTCCCTCATGTTCCTCCCTTCTCTAACCAAACATGGGAAGAAGGAATGCTCAGAGCAGACCCTTCTCCCTGTCCCCACTCCCAGAATGACACCCGCAGCATCAGTGATGTCTGCCCTGGGACAGACCTCACACTAAGCCTAGGTTCATGGCTTTCCCCAAAGCGAGTCCCCCTCTAGGGTTTCTCTCCCAGGAAATGGCTCTGCCATCCCACAGGTGGACAGGCGGACAAGTTAAAACTTGGGGAAGATGGGAGGCTCCCTCCAGCCCATCTCTGCATCCTTGGCACATTCCTGACCAACTTTCCTCTCACCAGCCTTGTCTCAGGAGCAAACATCTGCCTGGACTACCACTTAGCTCTTTCCACATCCCATGCACTGAGCCCCTCAAATTCAGCCTTGGTTTAGTAACACAGCCCTGATTATCTTATTGTCCCAACTTAAAACTTCAGATTTGAGTCCGATTAGGTGCCTCATTGGGTAAAGGCGTCTACTGCCAAACTTGACCTTAAGGAGGAAACTGAGTCCCAAAAGTTGCCCTTTGACCTCCACATGCATGGATACACAGTGAGATGTGTGTGGCTTGCCCGGCCCTGAACCTAGTACGGGGACATTTGTGAAGTCACATTAGTCTTTCTTCCCCAGTTCCTAGGCTAGCTTAGGTTCTGGAGAGTGACAGGCACAGCCTTAGCCATCATGTTGGGCCCCAAAGTCTTCTGATCCCAGGGCTCTAGAGCAGCCTTTTTCCAAGACCTCAGCCCAGCAGTGCCTCGGGAAAGGGACTCTTTATGGTTTGGAACAAGAGCATTTGTGGTAGCAGAGGTGGCCCTGTCAGACATAAGCAGAAGGGGACTCTTTGGATGGCAGGAGGGCTGGAAGGGAGCCTGCTCTCCTGGGGTGTCTGCTGCAGGCCTGGAGGGGTGAGGGAGCCTGTAGATTTTTTTATTATTATTATTGTTGTTGTTGTTGTAGTTGTTGTTACTAAGAAGTGGTGAAGGTGGAGGACCACCAACTTCATCCCTGCACTACTCAAATACACCACTAGGTGGAGATGATCAGAAGAACCTTGTGGCCAGGTCTCCTTCCAATGTTGTGTGGTAGGTACAGTGTTGAGACAGTCACATGACTGACCTGCAACTTGCTATATAGTCAATGGTAACCTTGAACTTCTGATCCTCCAGCTTCTACACCTCAAGTGCTGGGATCACAGGACACCAAGATCCTTTCTCCCCCTCCTCTCCCTCCAAGATGTATTTATTTTTATGTGTCTGTGTATCTGTGTGTGTGTGTGTGTGTGTGTGTGTGTAAGACGTGTGCAGGTGTGTGATGAAGAGGCCCGAAGAGAGCATTGAATCTCCTGGTGCTGAAGTTTCAGGCCATCATTAGCCTCCCACCCCACCATGCTATCTTCCACCCACATCAACCCTGGGAGGCGATGACTCCTTCCAGCCGGCTGTACTACGGGGCTCACCTACTCCACTGGCCTTTGCACACTCTTTATTGTGAATCTTTATGTAGAGTTCGATATTGTGTCACCAGCACAGATTCTCACAGCCACCACCACAATCAAAACAGAAGTGTTCCACCACTTCAAAAGCCCCATTTCTGCCAGACCTGATGGCACACAGCTATAACCCCAGCGCTTGGGAGCTAGAAGCCCGTGGCTCTCCATAGGCTGGAGGCAAGCCTGGTCTACATAGTGAGTTCTAGGCCAGTCAAAGCTCCAGAGTGAAACCCTGTACAAAAAAAAAAAAAATCACTTTTGGACTGGAGACAGTTTGCTTTGGTGAGTCAGGAAAATTTATTTTTATTTACTTTATTTTTATCATTTTATGTGCATGAGTGTTTATGCCTGTGTGTATGTATGTGCACAGAAAAGTGGGCATCTGGGACTGGAGTTACAGTTGTAAACTGAATGGGGCTTGAACCAGGGTCCTATGCAAGAACAATAGTGCTCTTAAGCGCTGAGCCAACTCTTGGGCCCCCTTTCCGTTGCCCCTTTATCCTCACATCTCCCTGATTCTTTCCCACTCGGCTTCTTCTCTAACCTGATTCTTCTCCATTTCTCGTGCCTGCCTTTGAACCTGTCGTGTAGAGCGACTCACACAGCACATAACCTTTGGGGACTGGCTCTCTGCACTAGGCACAAGTCCTTCAGACTCGAAAGAGCCAGCCAAGAGGTTTATGGCCCCCAGGTCTGCCTCTGTTAGGTTTGTGAAGAGTTGCTCCCAGCTGGGAGTAAAGGATAAAGGGAACTGAACCACTTGGGAAGCCTCCGAGGTCCAGATGAATACTACAAACCAGTCCCCAACCCTGGCAGGCCACGTGTCTCCCCACACACACACCCCTACTCCACACCCCACCCTCATCTCGCACCCCCTACCCCCATCCCGCAGCCCGGAACCAGCCTAGCTTTTCACCAGGCACTTCCCTGTCCCGTGGGCGATTGGGATGCTTGGAGCAGAGCTGCCAGCAGGGGGCACGAGAGGCCTTTCACCCGAGGGGTAATTACACAGACACGCCCAAAATTAGAAGGGGAATTTTGGTACTTGTGTGAGCCAAGAGAACCCAAGTGTCTTGTCCACTGTGTCTTAGCCCCAAGGAGAGACAAAACTTGGAAATGGAGAAGGGGGTGTCCATCAGAAGAAGGGGGGAGTTGCTCAGGCTGCCTAAGCACCTCCTCCTATCCACGCTAATTCATACCTCCATGTCTCCCGAGTGCCCGGTGGCTTATGCCCTCCTCTTTTTGTCCTAGTACTGGATTTCTGCTTCTCACACCACCCGGGGCACCTTCTTCTCCAGAGGCCCCTTCACTCCGAGCTTTCTCTAACATGCTCTCTAAGAATGCATCCAGCCCGGGCAGAGGATCTTAATGAGCTTTGCCACCAGATGACGCTGTAGATCTACAAGAGAGCCCCGCCCTCAACCTCGCCCGGGCCCTGGAATGCAGAACCTCTGGTCCCTGTCCAGCTGGTGGCACATTGCCTAGTGACGGGTACCTAAAATCAACCTGTGGCCTCCACAGGCAAGCGCGCGCGCACACACACACACACCCACGATCGCCCAGCTATGCATACATCCAGGGGCACCCACAGACACATGCACATACACATATCATGCGCAAATGTGAGTCCCTGTCCTCTGTGATTGCACAGTGGGTACTGTGTGCATGTCAGTCATAGGTCATAGTAATAGAACCTTGCTCACACACTTTGCTTACCTCTAATTCACACACCTGTCTCCCTGAGAGACTTCCCTTTCGTCTCTGGTTGCCCAGAGCCTGGCACAACAAGGGGTTAAAGTTTGAT